AAATATTATTTACAATCTATCTCATTCCTATTACAAATCATTTAAATGCATTATTTACAATTAACTATCTGAATAAAAAATAAATAAAAGTAACATTAAAAAACAAAAAAAGAAGTATTACAATATTGTCCAGTTTGTAGTTATGCAATTATCTCAAATTTTTATCAAATATTACTTATATATATATATATCTCTTTCATTTTAATAATAAAACAATATTGGTGCATGTATTATAATATACTTATAAAAATTATTATATTCAAAAGTGATAAAATAATCAAAACTTTTCTACGTAAAGAAAAATGTGGAAGAAGAAATTGAAAGAGAAAAAAAAAACTAAATCCGTATATAAATTTAAAGTAGAAGATACAAGAATACGATGAAAGTAGTAAGACAAATCTTTGAACATTAGATTGAAGAAAGGAAATAATATAAATCACTAGCGAGAGATAATAACAAGAAGACAATTCGAACGATTCAAGTGTATCGATACTTTTAGTAATTCGTTTCGAATCTACGAAAAATTCTCTTCTATTCTACTTCTCTCCTTTTCTTTATCTCCATTTCTTTTTTTCTATCTGTCATTCTATTTTCTCTTCCTACTAGTATAGCAAGCATTCTCGGCTTTGTTTCTATCCGCGAAGCGCACAACGAAAACGGTAAGCTGCTTAGGGACTTAACAAAACCCGACGAAAATTCTAACCGTTCAGTCTTGGTTCGTTCTGCTACAAGAAATGCGAAAAAAACAAAAAAAAACTCAAATCCTTTGGCTTGTTTTTCTCTATCTAAAACATTTCCTGTCGTTTCTCTCGATACCCATCTTTCTTTTCTTATTTCATTTTTTTCTTTTTTATCTACCATTTCGTACTACTTCTTATCGAACGAACTTAAAACAGGTAATACTTATCTATACATTTACTATTACTATTATTGCAAACAACTACAAAGATTTCTCGAATGAAACGAGAAAGAGAGAGAAGGCTTTCGAACTCGAATGGAAAACTAAAATCTTATTCTTAAGAAAAACAAATGGCTTATTTACCAAACTTATATTCCGAACTTTTAATTATTCCGATACGAAAAAAAACTTTCTTTTCAAACTTTCAA